AACTGCCTCCCATTCAAAACAGTGTTTTGCTTTTCAAGAGCCCCATCTGAATCTACCTGTGGCTCCATGGTCTCTGCAGTTCCACATTCCAAGGCACAATGAAATTTGGTCCAACTCCAAATAACTACATGTTCAACACAAATGGGTGCACTGGCCCCCCATGCTGGAGAAAAATATAGGTATTCAAGCTCCTTGTGAGTCCTAACTACTAAAAAGGAAAAGTCCTAATAACAAACCAAGGTTTTGTCTAACCTTGGCTATTACTGGTGTATCACACCAAAATTGCCACATTCCTTTTTAAGAGCAAATCAACAGCCCCTGCCCTGTTGTATGTTGGTTGGTCTCACCTGACAATCTGACTCAGGAGGAACTGAGGGGTTTCTTGCCTTAAAACTTGGGGAAAGAACACAGAGTAATCAGAGAACCCAGGTCCTAGTAGTACTCTCGATATAATCACATCCCACCTCACTGTGCAGATCTCTGGAGACAAACTACACTCACGAGTACACAGACTTCCTCTGGGGTGAATGGCAGGGTGTGCTTCTGCTTCTTCCAAAAGTATATACAGACATGCAGCTTTCAAGCTCTTTCTCCCTTTGAAAATCCTTACAGTTTGGGCACCAAATAAATTAACAAAAAGAAATGTGAATTGACCACCATTCTTGTTTTCAAAGCTCATGTACAGTTATACTCTGTCCACTAAGAGCTCCTGACAGCTGAAAGCTCTATCACTGAAAAACTATCATGAGATGCGTGCATGATGCTTGGGTGTCAGAGCTGAACAGAATGAATAGGCCACATGTAGTTGGCTCCCATTCAACAAGGAAGATTTTGAAATAAACAGCTATGGGATTTTTCTTTTTTATTTTTTTTTTTTTTTTAGTTAAGCACACACAAACCTGTCTTCAGCTGCTAACCTTAATATATTACTCATTTTCCCTTTCAAATAACGTCATGTTCAAATCCCCAGTGACTGCAGAATATTTACTTGAGGCTGCTACTGCTGGTTTCTCTAGAGCTGTTTATTTTTCCACGCATAAGCTCATTACATCACTCAGTGGTTTTCTTAAAGGTTGTCAGGGTAAGCTGGATACAGGCTGGAATCTCTTGCTAACTAAAACCAAATCACTAAGTAGCACAAATGGATTTGGAGATAACCTAACTCTGGAAATGAGGAACAACCACGGATTCCTCAGTGGGGAGGGGGTGTTCCCAAACAGGCAACCATTAGATTTATTTTATTGGAAGTGGGATACTTTATCAAGTATTTCCCTAGATTAAGAGCTGTAAAAGAGTAACCATTTGGGCTGCTGCAGGCTGGAATAGGTTGGGGGAAGGAGGTAGGAAAGTAGGAGGCTGAAATAGTAAAAGTAGAATAAGAAGACGGTTCCCAGTTATGCTGATTAGAGAATGGCCATTGCAAAGGTCCCATCCGTACCACCTCCTGCTCTGGCAGTGTTAAAAATAAGTAACACATTACAGAGGGCAGTGCTAAATAACAGGATAACTTTGGGGTATCCATGTGTGTGCACACACGGGTGCGCATGTTTGGGGAAGGTGAAAATCAATTCAAAAGAAACAACAAAAATGCTTCTGTCTCAAAATATTATGTTGATCTAGATCTTTTTCACTTGCCCCATAAAGAAAAATTGTCTTTGGAGCTAAAGTCAGACTACTTAGTTTGTAAGTGTAGAAAAAAATCACTTCTCAGCTACTCAACAGTCCAGATGAGATTGGAGCATGGTCATATTTTGGTTCCTGCCTCTGGCTGAGAAGATTTGAACCTGCATCTCACCCTACTGAGAAAGGGATCTAGTTGTCATTTCATTTTTTAAGGTGGTCTGGTGTAACAGCACTAGCAACCCCTCCCAGCAATGCTGCTTTACTTAGCATAGAAAAATTCACTGGCAGAATGCCTGGAGACATATAGGTTCTCAGTCAAATGCTCTAATCACCAGGCTAGAGTCATTCTGCTTTTCCTGATCCCCAGGCTTAATTAGCATTTACACATGCCAAGCAAAACACACATGCTTCAAAACTGAGGACTGTTTCAGGAGAGCCTGTTCTGTTTGTTAACACTACATGGAAGGTGGAACACTCAGATTTCAAATGCAGCTCTGAGATACAGGCTGCATACGCAATGTTGAGTATCACCAGCTCTGAAATGCTCAGCTACCTGACTAATATTGACTAGAGACAATGACAGCAAATTACAGAGCCTATTTGGCTTCATATAGCAATTCTTAAATTCTCCTCATGATTGATATAGTGGTGGTGCTAGCTTTCCAAGATGTCCAGTGTCTATGCTGATTAGAGAGCAGACATGTCCTCTGGCAGCACTATCTACTGGACTTCTCTTCATTGCAAAGGACAGGGCTATTTAACCACTGCAGGGAGGAGAGAGATCGGGTTATGTGTTATAGTATACAAACTCCAAGGAATAGGGCAGGTTTTCAAGAACTCAAGACTAATGAAAAAGAAGAGAAGTAAAAGAAGAGTTAGGATGGATATTGCAAAAAGAAAAATCCTGAGATCAAGTTCAGACAGCAGAGCAGCTTCCCGTAGGAAGAGGTGAAATCTTTATTGCTGAAGGCATTTATGCTACACTAGAAAATGCTGCTCTTCATACAGCACACTCACTAGCCCTAAGGCAGTAGATTAGACGATCTACTAGTCTTTTCTCATCTCTAATTACAGTGATCCTACTAGATTGTTGCAAAAGGATACCAGGCTGTATCTGCCTCAAGACAGTAAGTGAAAGCTCAGAGTGACAACGTAGCTGAGTGAATACCAAACCCAAAAATCCAATCTTGTGCTTGTAAAACTTACCTTAACCCTTTAAAAATAAATGAAAAATCAGAAATGTGCTGAACATTAATATTTCAAGTTAATGGCAAAAAGCAATTAAAAACATCCCCTAATTTTGCACGCCCATTTCGTGACAGCTCTTTTATCATCTTCAGCCAAGACAGACTTGAAGACATTTGAAGAACCTAATTCTAAATTATAATCATCCTCCCCAACTCTCTGTTGTTCAATCCCACCTGCCCTACATATATGACAAGGCATAAACGGAACAAAAGATAACAAACAAGGGTACTAGGCTTCACTGGCTGAAAGAAACAGACTAAAGTAGCCCACACCTAATATCAGATAAACCATAGCCCTAGACAGCATTTCTTGATGACAGTAACTCGGTGTAAGACACAGAGATGGCTGTTTATTTGTATGGCCTAATGTGGAAATTCGGGGCTAAAAATTTGCAACCCAGTCTCTTAATGAGATCCTACAGTAAATAGGTGTCTGCCAGGGCAGTCAGTAAGGCCACACATCTCTTTTGAGATTACTGTAGAAACCACCTCTTATGGCACTCTTGAATCTTCCAGAATATCATTTCTTCTCAATCTGTAGCATGCACTCATAACAATCTTGTTGGAATAACAGAAATGATATCAAAACCAATTGGAAAAAAAAGTAGTGGACAAAAGCAAACTTGGAAAAGGAACGCTTGGATAAACAAAATATATGGTTTACATCAGGCAGCTTCCTGACTAAACACTTGAAAAAAACGACTGCCTTTACAATGTGAAAGCCAGGCTGCTTTGGCACAGTCATGCCAAGAAAGGGTGAGAGGCAGGCTCTCAAATAAAAGATCCTCCTGCTCCCAAGTCCCTTTGCAGCCTCCTAGAACCCAAATCTAGGAACGATTCTTTCCACCACAGCTACCAGGTTTGCTGTGTTAGAAAGAATGGTCTTCAAGATAAGTAGGACCCCTTACATAGGATCTTGATATTAAACTGTCACCTTCAATTGCTCTGTTGTCCCAGCAGATCGTAAAACACAAGCTGCATTTGCTCTCCCATGAAAGACATCCTTAAAGAAGAATGCTGATATGCCTACATCATCTGAAGCTTCTGGATGATCCCCACTGGCAATTCTGACACAGACCACCCTGCTACAAAATCAGTCAGGAGGTGAGGCAACAGAAGACTGTTGCTAAAACTGGGGACTGCGCAACGATGGATATGCTTCTGCGAAGAGCAGTTCTACACTCTGCCACAAAATAATCTCACCTAACCTAGCACTGATTTCACCCTGCAGTTGGGAAGGTTAAGGATACTGCTGAGTGCCACGAATGCTCTCTGGCTAATCTCTAATAAATGGAGTTATTCCCAACAGCTGTTCTAGGCAAATATTGTTTCATAAAATATATGCAATAGTAGCAGCCCCTATTTAAACCTTAGAAGTAAACCTATGGCTTAAGGCAATTGTCTTCTTTTGGTATTTCATCTACCTTTTTATTTCCCCCACTTCAGTTAAAATAGATCAGATAGAAACCATCCTCATCATGAATCCTTAACTTCTCTCTTCAGATTATTCCAGTTTCTAGGGATTTCACTGACTCCACAAAGTTTCACTCCCATCTCCAATCTCAAGTTTTACATCTTAGCTTCACATCTTCCCTCACCCACCCTATTACCCACAAAAATAATCTCAGCATTTATTTAGGTCCAGACATAAGTAACCCACTTGCAGTTGCGACATAACCCAATCTTTTCTCTATCAAAAAATATCCCCTGAAGAGAAGAATCTTGAAGTTGCTAGAAAAGAAGCCCCCTCTGTGTAACTTCTCAACTGCTGAGACCAAAACCACAGCCCAAATCTGAGAGCCAAATGCATTAGTTTATACATCCATGAAAGACTGAAGAACAGCAAACAGAATAAAGATGGCAGCTGGCTGGGATGAATTAAGAGATGAAGAAATTAGAGGTTCCCCAGCTACGGTTTGGGGAAACAGAAACATCCTTCATCACACATAGACTGTGGCCTTTTGGACACAGAAAAGGACACTATCTGAAATTCTCTTACAGTCTTCACTTCAAACCCTGCAACACTGAAAAGCAGCAGGACAGGTACAATGAAAAAAGAATGACACAAGACCAGACTGTGAGGGACTGCAGCCTAGTAGAAAGGAACTATTTTTTTCATTAGAGCATTACCTGAATTCCTTATATTGGAGCTGTTCAATTTGGAATCTTTGATGACCAAGTGCTTAATCCAAAGGGTGGGTGCTGTGATTTCTGAAAGAGAAAAAATAACTGCCTTAAAGAAGCTATAGCAACTAGCGAATACACATAGTTGTTACTCATAGAATGGTTTGGATTGGAAGGGACCTTAAAGCTCATCTAGTTCCAGCCCCCTGCCATGGGCAGAGACACCTTCCACTAGACCAGGTTGCTCAAAGCCCTGTCCAACTTGGCCTTGAACGCTGCCAGGGATGAGGCATCCACAGCTTCTCTGGGCAACCTATGCCAGTGTCTCACCAGCCTCACAGTGAAGGATGTCTTCTTTATATCTAATCTAAACCTACCCTCTGTCAGTTTAAAGCCATTACCCCTTGTCCTATCACTATCTGCCATTGTAAAAAGTCCTTCCTTGTCTTTCCTATAGGCTCCCTTTAGGTACTGGAAGGCTGCTCTATGGTCTCCCTGGAGCCTTCTCTTCTCAGGGCTGAACAACCCAAACTCTCTCAGCCCCTCTTCAAAGAAGACAAGATGTTTGCTACAATCATGCCTTAACTGATCCATCATCTTCATAGAGATTGGCTCATTCCCTAGTTAGGTCTTCCACCTCTTATGAACTACCATTTGTTAATCTTCCACAAGGTTATCTCATTATCTTCCCATTCCAGAAAGTACCTCCCCTCCATCCCCCACCTCTTAAGTTCTCAAGTCTAAAGCCTTTCTCCTTAAGTCTTAGAGATCTCAAAGGGTCAATGTATATATTGGTTTCCACTACAGTATGTACGAAAACCTGATTAAAAACAAGTCAATTCAGACCTTAGATATCACCTTAACAGCTCAAGAAAAGCTGACCACAGTCAGTTCCCTAAAACAAGCAAGAACAAAATCTGAAGTAAATAGGCAAGAAATGAAGATATTTCTGGAAAGACATGAAAGGAAGTCTGTTAAAGAAACAAGTTCTGGTTAGAAAAGCATATCTGATGCACTACAAGCAAGATATCCAAACATATATTTGTGGGGAAAAAGTGCTTAGAGCACCTCCTCTGAAGTGTTACAACCAACTTCAAAATACAGAACCTGCCCTAAGCCACAGAAATGACATAAAATCAGCATTTGATTAGAACTGAGTGGAGCAGTACTCAATACCATGGGCTAGAGTTCCTAAAGGAAAATCTTTGCTTAAAAAAGACATTTTCAGAACTGGTATCTTCTGAAAAATTTTCAGCTTCCACAAGAGCATGCCTTAAGTACTAGATCCTGGAGTTTGTCTTAAGTCCCTCTAAGAAGTTTTTACAAGGGTTTTCCTGCTCCTTTGTTGACACTTACATGGGTCTGATCTGCCAGGGAAAAGCTAGCTGACTACAAGAGCAAGTGATTATACATTACAAAAGCATGAAGGAAAATGAAAGAGAATTTTTCCTTCCTAAATGTTTTCAGCTACATTGATTGGAGGCATTATTGAAATCATGTTCAGGGCATTTTTTCATCTGGAAATATAGGTTTAACATTGATATTCCAGCAGTAGTAAAAGCTTGCTTAACAAAGACTGCCTTATCTGCAGGTTTCACTACACTATTTTATCATCACTTAGCCATGATGTGCTCCTATAAACATATATACCTATATACTTTGGGCCTTTTGAGGGGGAGAACTACATCAAATTAAACATTGGGTGAGAGGTAGGAAGGGGAGAAGCACAAAAGTAGAAAAAGTCCATAAGCCAAAAATGCTAGATCAAAACTCCTAAATCTGGGATGATATTTAGCTCTGACTCTGCACTATATGGACTGGTTATGTCTACAGCTGAAAAAGAAGGGAAAACCAAAGTCAAACATGCCAAAGAATTTTTGGAATACAGGTAAGCAACATAGACTCCTCTGAGCAACAGCTCTGTGGAAAGAGTAGGTTCCCACTGAGTTGAAAGGTGAGGTTTAGAAAAAAGAAGGTATTTGAAGATATTATTCTTCAGGAAACAAAAACAACTTGCAGATTGAAACTAAATAGAGGGTGGATGAAAAGAAGACAGCCTAGAAGTGCAGAAGGGAATGAAACTTTTTTAATTTAAAACTATAGCAAGGACCATTAATAAAATACTGCAAAGAAAAATCTTGTCTTAAGAGGAGATTCACTATAAACATCACCAAGATCTGCATTGTGATGAAGTGAAATAATTTTTAAAGAGATGGCTGCTTTATGATTCAAGCCTTGGACAGGAGAGTTTAAATTATCTGATCTACATTATCTCTGGCACTGCTCTGTTATGCCCTCAGGGAGGATGGTAGGGAGTGGTAAGGGAACTTATTATACCTGAAATGTGAATTTTCATTATCCTCTAATGTAGGTGAAAACATGAGAAAGGTGAACCTTCACCTTGGAGATGCTGACATCCAAGAGGTATCACATATTTCAGGGGCAGCTGAATGCGTTTAATGCTCTTTGAAAAAAGTCAGCCCCTTGTGGATTGAAAGTAGGCACCCAAAAAAAAAGCTTGAAAAGAAATTCCACATTTTTATTGTCCATTCACATTCCTATCAGCTCCATCCTGGTTGCCTGAATTTGAATGCACAGGTTTTCAGAATCCCAGCATCTCTCAAACCCACCGAAATTAAATGGGATTCAGTCTTTAACTCATTTGAACATCTATACACCTGACATGTGCATGGACAACTGTTTTGTCCTTTTCTGTCACCTGACATGTGTCAGACACAAAGTACAAGCCATTCCTCAGGAAGAACTACCCAAGACACTGGGAGAGTATTCTACTGAAGTATCATAACATGTTTGCTCAGATAGAATTAAGGGATTCTTACAGGATGACATCCTAAGGCATCCAGTCCAACCTTCTGCTCCAGACAGGGTCAGCTATAACAACAGACCAGGTTGCTCATGCCTTTAACTAGCACGGAAAGGAAGGACAGAGTATCACCTCCTTGGGCAATCTGTTCCACTGCCTCCTTGTCCTCATGGTGAACTAAGTTTTTCCCTTATATGCAATCCAACCATTTTGTTTCAATTTATGACTGTTGTCTTACACTGTACATTACTGTGAAGAGCCTGGCCCCATCTTCTTAATAAACTTCTCTGTAAGTATTGGAAGGCTGCTATTAGGCCACATTTAAGTCTTCTCTTGGCACAGCTACAGGTTGGGCGGAGAAGAGATTCAAAGTAGCCCTGCAGAGAAGGACTTGGGGGTGCTGGTTGATGAGAAGCTTAACATGAGCTGGCTTCAGTGTGCGCTTGAGCCCAGAAAGCCAATCGTATCCTGGGCTGCATCAAAAGAAGTGTGACCAGCAGGTCGAAGGAGGTTATCCTGCCCCTCTACTCTGCTCTCGTGAGACCTCACTTGGAGTATTGTGTACAGTTCTGGTGTCCTCAACATAAAAAGGACATGGAGCTGTTAGAGCAAGTCCAGAGGAGGGCCACGAGGATGATCAGGGGTTCTGGAGCACCTCCCTTATGAAGACAGGCTGAGAAAGTTGGGGCTGTTCAGCCTGGAGAAGAGAAGCTGCGTGGAGACCTCATAGCAGCCTTCCAGTATCTGAAGGGGGCCTACAAGGATGCTGGGGAGGGACTCTTCATCAGGGACTGGAGTGGTAGGACAAGGGGGAATGGGTTTAAACTTAAACAGGGGAAGTTTACATTAGATATACAGAAGAAGTTCTTTACAGTGAGGGTGGTGAGCCACAGGAATGGGTTGCCCAAGCAAGTTGGGACTGATCCATCCCTGGCAGTGTTCAAGGCCAGGTTGGACAGAGCCTTGGGCAACATAGAATCATAGAATAGTTAGGGTTGGAAAGGACCTTAAGATCATGGTTTAGTGTAATGTGCCCCTGCCCGTGGCAGGGGAGTTGGAACTAGATGATCTTAAGGTCCTTTCCAACCCTACCTATTCTCTGATTCTATACACTTACACTTTTCCTGATGTACCCACTTTAAGCCATTATTGAGGACAGTATGCTTAAAGGTAGAAGATTACACAAACTTTAGTTCAGACCCAGAATGGAGTTTCTTGTGCTTATTGCTACAACCAACACCGAAAACTAGTTAGTCCTATTTAACTAAGAGGGATGACAAAAATACAGAGTGACAAACTTAGCAGAGTTTATTCGTTGATGCATAGCTTAATCTGCCTGTCATATTCTCTTCTCCCAAGTCATGAGGGACACTGCTAAAACAACAGGAAGCCATCACGTTAGTCATTCTCTCTAGAAGTCTAGGAAATAAGGTCTTGCATAATATACTGCAAGATTTGTGAGATGCAATCTTTCATCATACAGTCCAAGTCCATTTATCAAACTTGATTTCACTTGCAAATCAATGCAAAGGTTTTTGATTGAAAATGTTTTTCATAGAAGATAAGATGACTTTTTTTCTTACTCTGCCTGTCGCCAGAAGGACCAGAAAAGATCTGTTCACTGCACCATTTCTCAAGAACTTTGCCCAGGTCATTCATGTGAATGACCAAAATGTTGAGTCTCTCCTAAGGGGGAGCTTGTAAACAGGCTGTATTAACCAGAGCAGCTCACTCCTGTGTTTTATTGGTGCATTGTTTTCTTTGAATATCTATGGGCACCCTCTCAGGGGAAAACTTAAAGGCCAGAAGTTTGTGATTACAAACAGCAAGTTAATACAACATCAGCTTGCTGCCAGGAGGAACTGTCTTTTGATATAAACAAGAGATAGCATGGCTTCAGCTTCCTTTGTTTATTTTAAAATGCTCTTTGCTCTGAGGGCTTTGTTTTGTTTCTCAAAGCTCACAAGAAGATTCTTACAAACCTACAATCACTAAATGAAAGTGACAGGACTACAGCATCTTGCCATTAAATAAGCTTATTTTAGCAACAAAAACCCCCACCCCATCACCTGTTTTTACAAGAAGGCAAGAGTAGGCAGCAGCACCACCTACTCTTGCTCATTAGTCTCCATTTCTGACTTAGATCCAGTTTAAAAACAGTTTCAAATACAACATTCAGGTATGAAAAGGCATAGGTTTTCCCTCACTGCCTTATGGTTCACAGATTCAGGTGGGTCACAGAATGGCTCAGGCTCCAGCCCATAGCTTGACTATAATGGTTGTGGATTTAAAGCTGTAGAAAACTTGCACTACTTCTAAGTAATATGCAAGATATAAGCAGCCTATTCACTACCCAAGGACCACTATGCCCACTGGTATTTATTTTTGTATGTTCAAAAGGCTTGAGCCCTCTGTGATGACAGCCTTTTTATCCTTGTTTCAAGGCTTCCAATGGACTAAGGTCCAATATTCCCTTTCCAAAGTAATATAATCACAAGATTAGCCCATTTGAGAAGGAAACTGCCTTGGTGGGCCATGAATTAAGTGGGCCCAAGACACTGACTTCATTTGCTTAAATAGTATGTGCGTCAATAAAAGTAATTGTTAAATAAAGAAACCTCCCAACAATTTTCTTCCAAGTCAATATTCACAAGCTGTGGTTTAGCACTGCCCTCCCTTTCGTGAAGCTGTAATGCACTGCAGAGATTATTAAACTCCCAGCACTGGTATCATGAGGGTGGAGAGAACAAGGGAATATGGAGAGTTTAAGGAAGTTGCCATGTCTGACCTCATGCACTTTTTTTTTTTTGCTGTGACACCTTTTCCTCCAAGGTTACCTCAGGAATCTCATCAACTGGTGTTATTGTTGGATTCCAAGGAAAAGGGGAGGATATAAAAGGATTAGGGAAAATGCCTGAGGTCCCAAGGGCACTGTGAAATTTGGATAACTTATGAGATTCACTGGCTTTTCTGCTTTGCAGGATAAAGAAAGCATTTGAGCCATAAATCCTTGGGAAAAGGGAGATGGAAGTAGGGTTTTTTGTTATTATTATTTTAAGGGATGTTCTTACCTTCTCCATCGAAAATTGGCTGGGTTTCCATGGTAGGTGTTGGCTTCGAACCGTCATCTGAATTGAGGGTTAAAAAGAATCGAAAAGAAACTACCATTATTGAGGTAAATACTATCTACTCTCCAGTACTGTTGAATGATTGGGATTTGTACATGGCCCGGCCAAGTCCAGAAGAGAGAGAAGACAGACAGAACAAATACAGTTTATACTAACAGAAATAACATTTTACACAGCAAGCATGCATCAAGCAGTATCCTTAGACTTAGGAGAAGCCTCCCACCCTTCCTCCCCTCTCCCTTCCCAAACCATTGGTGTTCATCACCTGGTACTTCCCCCTTGTTGCACTGATCAGGCAATCACTTTTTTAGTTTCAGGTCATACATCCCACAGAGGTCATTTCCTGAGACAGCGGAAGTCTGGAGATTGCTTCCCCACTGTGTCTTTCTCCTTATTCTTTTTGTTCAAGAGAAAATCTCTTCTTCTGGAACTTACCTGTGCAGAAGCTGGCACCAGCATTTACTGCAGAGCTGTTAGAAAGGGATGGTCAACAGCAAATCTTTTTTCTTAAAATGTCTGCATCAAGGCGTTCATTAATTGCAATGCTGTGGCAATACCTTCTAATTGCAAAATCGTGGAAAAAGAACTTTTCTGTCATTCATTTTTTCATGTGCAAGAGCACTCCGTGTCTTCTGACCACAAGCCTTTCATAATTAAAAGTTTAAAACAGAAGAGATACCATAGGAACTACAAATCTCAGTATTTAGACATGGACCACAAGGAAAAGAGTCCAGTTTACACTGTTTGGCTTTGCTTGCCTGTCCATTGTATTATCTACTGCCCCATCTTGGAGTCAGATTGAGCCTAATTTCCTTAGCACTCAGAGGGATCTGGATTTCAATCCAGAACTTGGACACATCTTTACACAGCACTAGAAGAGTGTCATAGCATTAAGTGAGGCAAAACTTTTAACTGGGGACGAGCTAAGTTGGAACAAACTGCAAAGGAAAGCTTTTGTTACACTGCAAGATTAGAAAATAAAATACTGGTGGGATGTAAACTAAGATGAGATTAGCCTAGAATTGCCTTTTTTCTCCCTTGTTTGAATACAGTGACTTTTAAAACTTACAGTTTGTTACAATTGCTTTTTGCATACGTTATGGACAAAGACAACACTAGACATCAGCAAAGTGGGCAGTAAAATGTAAGGTTACACAGCAAAAATCAGTTGGAGGGAGGAGTCCATGCCAGAAAAACCAAGCTTGCTACCATCTCTATGACTACCAGATGCACAGGGCAGACAACATTTGGAGGAAAGGTGCATGGAACAGTCCCTCCTAGAGGTAGCAATAACTGCCCTCAGCCTTCCCTTGTATTAGTTCCTATTACAAAAGTATGAGACCATTACAAGGGGGAAGGAAGGGCAGAGATGGAAAACAGGGGCCTGTAGACTGTTTTTCCACGCATACCTGTATTTGCAGTTTTATAAAGTGAGCAAAAGCCTAAACACTTCTTCCACAGATCATTAATTTTATGCATTTCCACAGAAAATAATCTAACTCACAGAAAGCAAAAAAGTGTGCTGGTAATTCAATTTCAACCTCAGAGATGCACTGAAGGAGGTTGACAGAAACAAGCATGACACCCTGTTGTCATTTTCCCTCTTCCTCATTGTGTTTAGGTCTAACTGCAAGAACAACGAAAAAATTTGGAAGAAAAAAATACTTACGATTTTTCAGTCAACTCGTGTTCAGAGTTTTCCTGTTATTAGGTATTACAAGTAACAAGGATAAGCGGTATTTTTCTTTCAAAGTTTGAACAACTGATTTCTCAGGGGAAGGAAAAAAAAAATCCCCAAATTCTGCTTAATTTACAAGAATGAAGATTTTGCCCTTTAAAGAAATCTTTGAATAATAGTTGCTTTTTGTTTGGGTTTGGTTTTGGTTTTTTTTGTCAGAATAGGCTGCTCTGCTTCTGCAAGATCCCAGAAACCACAGCTAAGGCTTGTTATTTGTTTAGGATGACACTTCACTCTGTAACGAAGCAGTGAGCAGTATGTAATCAACATGGTTGGCTTTACAGATTGAGAAACCAACCGAAAATTACAAAAGATACTTACAGAACAACTGGAAAGGTGAATAATTCTGAAGTTACATAAAATAGGGAGAGATCTGGTATAAAAATTACCAGTATGATAATAAGTTTATTTCTATTGTTCTCATGAATGCTTCTGCACCAAGTAATTACAGAATTGCTTTTCAGATTTAAAGCAGCAACCCAGAAGCCAACAATGGAGAAAAATTAGAAGTGGATCTGAGCCACAGCACTTTATCCAAACCATTATGTGAAATCTGGCAGAACTCAGGATGCTTCAGGTTCAGGGGGGTTCTTTTAGTCTTGTGTGTGTGTTTGTGAAGAGCAGAGGCAATAAGCAATTATAATTTGGGAAGTACATTCTTCTTAAAGAGAATCTTACAGCAGTTTTTGTACAAAGTTAGCCATTAAGTTACAGAAGAGTATTAAACAGTGACGGAATAAATGCAGCAAATAGACAAAAATATCAAACTAACCTTTGAACTGAGGCAGCTGTTTAAGATAATCTCGATAAAATGGCTCTGTGAACCACACAGTCATTTCCTCACTGGGTTACTAAGGCCAAATTGTCACTAAGTCCACACTGTAGCAGCACCCAGTACAGTATTAAGGGTTTTGCAAATAGAAGGAAGTATAATTACTCCCCTGTTGTTCAAGTTAGTACAGTTCTTTCATCACACATACAAGAAAAAATGCAATAGGCAAGAGCCCTGTAATTACATTCACCATATTTCAAAAATCAAAAGCCAGGGATATTTCTGATTATTTTTTTAAAGGTCATGAAATAGTCACGTAAAAGACAAAAATTGCACCTTATTAAAAACACCATGCTCGCTTCCCAGCTGCCAGCTTCTTATTCTGAAACTACCAAATCTATTTCTTAAATTGGAGGATTCTCAGTAGGTCTCAGTGTTTCAAATTAGCTTATGGCAAAAGTTTCACTGCCATTCCTTTTGGGCAGAAGAACAACCCTAATACTTGTCTACCCTCATTTGATTCTTCCTCTCACTCAATACACCATTCATCACATTGAACATTTGTTCCACTGGCCTGTTTGCTCCTGGTAAACAAGGAATAAGTTCTATTTTACATACCTGAAAGTTTTGAACATGTATTTTGTATTCCTTAAAGAAGGAATTATAACATAGAACAGAAAACCAAGCTATTTCAGAGACCTAGGGTCTCCTGTGATATTATAGGAGATGTACAGGATATTGTTACTTTGGAGTCAAAGGTAATGAAGTATGTTCATCAGGTACAATCTATTTTTTTCTTCAAAAAACTATTAAATTCCTTACCTTCAAAAAAGGTATGTAACTGCAATAGTTCTTCGTGCAGAGCATGTCACACAGGGATCAAAGAAGTCAAGTAAGTGCTTCTTAATCCCTCTAGATGGCAATGCTTTCAGATCAGGAACTCACATGGCAGAACCATCAAAGATAATATCCTTGGTGGCAGAATATTCACAGAGCCTTGAAGAAGAGTGCATTGGCATGCTCCTCTACCATATTTTACAACCCAGCATGAATATCCACTTTCTTTTTCTAAGACCGCCACTGAATGCAGACAGCATCACCCAACAGAATACCTCCCAACGGGACACCATTTTAAAGCCAAAAAACTCCTCTCCAGTAATCCTCCTTTTCCCAGGGCACACTTGCAAAACGTGAACCAATTTTTCCGTCTCAACTGACATTAACTTAAAAATTACTTTTTTATCTTATCACTGGTAAGAGTGAAACAGGCAGGTCCAAACAACGCTCCCTAAGCCATTTTCACATTAAGATACCATGGCCACAAATCAGAAGCCCACTTGCACTAATAGTGTCAGAGGCAATGGTTTGTGTTGTATTAGCATGACAATAACTCAGAACAGACTCAGATCAAGTGCTAGTTTGGGCAAGAACACTGTATTCTCCCACTAGGACTCCCCTCCTGTAGCCTTACAGAGTATCTAGCAAGCATCCACATCTGGAATGACTATAGTGTATGCTGGGGTTGACAGACAAGGAGATTCAGTTCATGTGGAAGACAACTGTTAAAGTGATTTTTTACTTGAATGACAGGCACCAAGGCCATGAGCAACTTGAGTTATGTCAGGAGAAAAGTAAACTCCCTAACACTGAAAAAGCATAAATTACTATGGAAAAAAATATGAAGTAGTAACTGCCTGCTACTCTGAATCACTGTTCTTGCCTCAAGCCACCTAAAGGAAGTTGGAGAAAGGGGGTAAGTTACATGATAGAAATAACCTCCCATATCACATATACCCAAGAAAATATACCCACTGCAAAAGTCATCTATATCTTGTATCACCATGTTAACAGACCAAGATCTATAGTTTTTCTAAGCAACCTCAACCTTCTGTACATCACCTGTGTTTTCACTGGAATCCATGAGACAACCTGTAAACATTTCTACCATTTTAAAGTGTGCTAGTGCTTATGGAGTCAACCATCCAGGCCTTGTGCAAAATCTATCTTTTTTGTAAATCTACAGCTTGAGTATCAGTGGTTCCCAGACTTTGAGTCAGCCTGGCAGAATAAGAGGATGACAATTTTAAGTGCATAGCACTACCCTGGGAGGAGGCAGCCTTTTTCCTGTGTCAAGTGGTTCCTTCACTTACCATCATCTGGTTTGGGGTGAGCCATTACTGAGCATAGCTCAAGCTAGACAGGCAATTTTGAGCACAGACAGCCAGGACAATGAGTGAATTCTTAACTTGTCCTGTTCAATGCAGCACAGCCCACCTTTAGTGGGTTTCTCAATCCAACAGGAAGAGAGAATAGTTTTCCTAGGCTTGAGCACTCCTTAAGGACTTAAGTCATATTTACACCTTTTTGTGGCTTTAGTAACCACTCAGATGCAACAAAGACCTGTCGGGTCAACTCAAGTTCCCTGTATCTGTGCAATTCAGATACAGTTTTACAACTTTGACATTCCTGTGTATTACTCCCAGGCTTGGG